GGTCCGAGGCGCGAGGTTCAAGGCCAGCCCCAGGAGGCTGAGGTCCCATAAGCGAGGTTTAAGGCCAGCCCTGGCAGGAAGAGGCCCTGCAAGACAGTCTGGCAGCATTTTATAAGTTCAAAACTTTCCAAATCAAAAATTTCAACATTTCACAATTTCTGAGCACCTGACGCTCTGTAGAGAGCAAAGCCTCCTCCCCAGATCCAACCAAGAATAAAACCAAAGATAACGCAGACTAGGAAGTTCAGCAGGGTTTCAGTTTCCACCCTTCAGTGCTTGGTGTGACAGACCAAGAACAACATTCTTTCACAAAAGCTTGCTTTGGGGCAAGGGTGCAGTCCGGTCCCCTCCGAGGGACTGGACGAGGACATTGCCAAGCCCCTCCACCCCTTTCTGCTCTGAGCCCCAGGGTTGAAAAAGGCAGGGTGCCTGGCTGGCTTAAAGGCCCCTAGGAGCAGGCAAAGAGTTGCACTGCACGGTGAACGTTGGTCAGTTTGGTTTCAAAACTCCTGAGGCAAGTCTCCACTGCTGGAGTTACCGTCTCCATGGCCACCAGGGTGGAGTCATTTCCTAAAGATGGCTCCATTGGCTCCTAGAGACCAGAGGCCTCAACTTGTTGTCCACCCCCTCGCCCCCTGCAATCTGAGGTGCTGGGGATTGGAACCCAGGGCCTCATGTCAGGCAGACGCCGGGGTGGAGAGAGGCAAAGGCAGCCCAGGCTCCTTGGGAGGAACCACCCGCTCACTAGAAGGCTGCTCCAGCTCATTTTGTTTTCCTTATCTGGGAACGGAACAAACTGGTTAACGGAAAACGCTGGTGGTGTTAGAGGGAAGGTGGATCATACCTCAGAATGTACACATGACCGTGTTGCTCTCTCCAGTGGGATGGTGAGTCACTCGGTGGACACATGCACACTGTCTGGCTCCCAACCCGGCCTGCTTCCCGTGGCTGCCTGTCCCAAATCCCCACCCATCTCGGCCTCCTACTGTATTTCTGGATGCTGCCCCAGGCCCTTCCCTGACCCCCATCCAAGCCCTCACTCCGGTGTTCCGCCCCCAAAGCACCCCATACAGTAGCCACAGCTGTACTAATTGATGCCGGTATCTGCTGAACAGTCTGTGGACACAGAGGCAAATGCTGCTGGGGCCTCTGTAGTGTCCTGGTGCCCTCTCCCTGTCCACTGTGGGCACCTACCTGAACATAGGGAGGTGAGGGAGGTGATAGAAGCAACGCCCTGCTCAGGCTTTCCTTGTCTTGGATCTGAGCCCCTGGGGTGGGGAGAAGGAACTCACAGTTGCTTTTATCTCTTACCTGAGACCAAGAATTCTGCAACTAGGGCTGGGAAGGTGGCTCGGGGTAGAGCGCTTGCCTCGCATGCCTGAGGCCCTGGGTTTGATTCCTCAGCACCACATAAACTAAACAGAAAAAGCCAGAAGTGGCGCTGTGGCTCAAGTGGTAGAGCGCTAGCCTTGAGCTGAAGAGCTAAGGGACAGCGCCCAGACCCAGAGTTCAAGCTCCACGACCGACAAAAAAACAAAAAAATCTGCAACTAAACCACCAGAGATCAACTCCTGCCTGCTTCTATGCAGGGGACCTGGCATTCCTCCCGGAATACTAAGCAGCTCACCAGTCTTTCCAAAAGAAAGGTGACACTTTGTTCCCTCTTCAAATGCAGAATGAGAAGAAGCACTGGAGGAGGTGAAGAGGAGAAAAAGATTGGGAAGGAGGGGCTCTCAGCCTGGAGTGTATAATCCTAGGAGTCTGAGTCCAGCCTGAGCAGCGCAGAGACCGTGTCTCACACACAAAGGCAGGCAGAGATAGATGGTGTCCACCGAGTTCCATGGTCCTGGGAAAGGGGAAGCCAGCAAGTGACCCAAGCGTGCACACAGCATACCTCCACAACTGTGACTCAGAATCTGCCAGCGTTGGGCGGCCAGCTGAACTTGAGCTGAAGTCCTGGAGCACGGGTCCATGGGAGATGGGAGAAATGCTGGTGAGAGGTTGAAGGGACTCATTGAGGTCTGCCGCCGGCGCAGCTGGGTTTCGCTGTCATACCAGCTGGCTGCGTCCTTGTGGGTAAGGAGAGGCAGGCATTGGTCTAACCTCTGCAGAGCGGGTGCCACCTGCGTAGGAGGCCTGGGCCCCCCGGCTCTGCTAGTGAGGCAGAGGCCTGCTCCAGTCTACTCTCTTGCTTTCAAGATGGGAGCAGACAATGTGTGAGTTCTGGGAACCAGGCCTGTTCCCTGCCTCAAGACCCACAGGACTCCCAAGAGTACCCTTTGGCCAAAGGCAAGACGGCCCATGGCTCCCTCTGCCTTCGAGGGATCATAACGTTGGGATCTTGCCTTTGGCTGTTCTTTGGGAATCTGAGGGTCAATTTTTTTTTTCAATTACATTTAAAATACCTTTTCTTTTTCTTTTTTTTTTTTTGTCGGCCGTGGGGCTTGAACTCTGGGCTTGGGCGCTGTCCCTCAGCTCTTTAGCTAAAGGCGAGCGCTCTACCACTTGAGCTACAGTGCCACTTCCGGTTTTCTGGTGGTTTATTGGAGATAGGAGTCTCACGGTCTCTCCTGCCCGGGCTGGCTTTGAACTGCGATCCTCAGATCTCAGCC